TGTAACTAATAACAATAATAATAACTGTACATTAGCTATTGTAACAATAATAATAATAACTGTACACTGGTTACTGTAACTAACAATAATAACTGTACATTAGCTATTGTAACAACAACAACAATAATAATAATAACTGTACACTGGTTACTGTAACTAACAATAATAACTGTACATTAGCTATTGTAACAATAATAATAATAAATTTACATTAGTTATTTTAACTTCAGAACTGAAACGAGCATTTCATAGATGCAGCTGTTGTTTAATGTTAAAATGCTAATCTGCAGGAGGCCACGTAAAGACTAAAATACCTCTGAAAATAAATTTTAATGAAGATCTTTTGTTGACAGCGACGTTTACATCTTTGAGTTTCATAAATGGTAAAGTTCCTCGTTCTTTATCGCAGGTTGTGAAGAAACGTGAGGAACGAGGAAAGGTGTCCTCCATCAAGATCCGTAGAACTTTACCCAAACCTCAGGCCAACCTGACACCCATGGGTCTGCCCAAACCCATCAGGTACTTTAGATATGTCGGATTATAACAGATTAAGGCACAGATGTCAAACTCCGGGCCTCGAGGGCCGGAGTCCTGCAACTTTTAGATGTCTCTGATGCCACGCAGCTGAATCAAATGAGGAGGTCATTAGCAGGACTTTGGAGAACTTGACTGCACCGAGAAGCTAATTCAGTCATATGATTCAGCTGTGTGGCATCAGAGACGCTTCTAAAAGTTGCAGCACTCGGACCCTCGAGACCTGGAGTTTGACACCCCTGGATTAGGGAGTGGTGGTGCAGAGGTTAGAGAAGGTGGGCTTGTGATCAGAAGCTCGCTGGTTCAGCTCCTGGTACCGACGACATCAAAATGTGTGTGGGAAAAGTGAAGCACCCACACCTGTCTCCACCTTCATTTGCCTTCTTGCTCAAGGGCCCTTGAGCAAGGCCCTTAACCCCCATCATCTGCTCCTTGGCAAATTAATGTCAAAATAATTTTTAAACTTACAACACCACTTTATTTATAAAGCACTTTAAAAACGACACCGTCGGCTGTATGTGGTGTTAAAGTAAAAAAATAAAATAAAAATCTTTTCAAAGGTAACTAAACTTTACTTTTTGTTTCTCTAAACACCACATTAGATTAGATTAGATTAGATTAGATTCAACTTTATTGTCATTGTGCAGCATACAGGTACAGAGCCAATAAACTGCAGTACAACCGACAGTACACAATAAAGTATTACTACCAGTTATTTACAGATAAACGCAGGGAATGAGTATGGAGAATACAGATGTATGCATTTATATGCCCAGTATATGGAGCGTCTAAAAGTGAAATATGCAGACGTATTATCACAGCAGCAAATAAAATAATGTCTATAATGCAAGTATGAACAGTGCAGTATTGGACTGTACAAATACACAGTAGTCCCTCGTTACTTCGCGGTTCGTTTTTCTCAGACTCGCTCTGTCACGGTTTTTCAAAGTCAGATTGGACATGACGCACAATTGGCTGATGGATGGATGAGCGGCACGATCGGCATGGAGTTTTTATTTTAAATTATTTAGCACCTGCTGCAGAGGTGCACATGTGCAGCCCACACCTGCAGCGTGTGTCTGCAGCGGAGAAGTGGGCGTGGCCGAGAGCAGCCGAAGACAGAGAGCAGCCGAAGACAGAGAGCTGAAATCCTGACATTTTTGTGCTTTTAGAATGTTTTTTGTTTAGAAACATTTAGAATATTGCAAGAGTGTGGGAAAGGTACAGGTGCTGTACATGCTCAGCGTTCCGAGCTTTAAGACTTCAGATACTCAAGTGGAGACAAACCTTGAAGATAATTTAAACTGTAACAAAACTCGCCCTTGAACCTGGTCATCGTGTGGAAAAATGATCAAATCCTGCTGGGTCACACTGAGATTAACAACACGTTACATTATCCAGATGTTTATTTGTTCATTGCTGCATTCTTCTGTTCTGTCACTCCGCAGGTTGAAAAAGAAGGAGTTTAGTTTAGAGGAAATTTACACAAATAAGAATTTCAACAAACCCCCTGAAAGGTAAGTTCATCACAGACGTACTTACATAAATAAGCTCAAATGAGTCTGAAGCCTTAATCCTGGCTCATTTTTCAAAGTAGATTTTTTTTAATGGTGCTCCAATTCTTTTAATATTTACGAGAGGTGTGGACTGCAGGCAGGCCCGTTCAGCACCCGGACTCTTGGACCATGAGGCCTTGCTGCTGTGACAGAAACGGCTCGTGGTTTAGCGTCCTCTGCATCGACTGAGCCTTTCCAGACGTGTAAACAGCTCGTGTCAGAGACACTGATGCACCCCCATACCATCAGAGAGGCAGGCTTTTAAACCGTGCACTAATAACAGACTGGATGGTCCCTCTCCTTTTTAGCACAGAGAACACCGCATCTGCAGTTTATAAATAAAAACACTGCATGAATCTGGCTTCTTCTTTGCCTGATAGAGCTTTAAGAATCATTTGTGGATGGCATAGTGAACTATGTTCATGAACCCAGAACAGAACCAGACCTGTTTTTGATGCAGTGGCCCCTGAGGGCCCAAAGATCACAACCATGCAGTGTTGACTGTGTTGTTCAGCTCTCCAGATTGTTTTAATCTTTTGGTGGATTTATGAAGAGCATTATTCTTCAGTCGTTATTTCTGTTTTTAGACTCAGATTGTCACAGACTGCTGAGCCTCTGCCCATCTCTACATCTAAAAAAGTTCATTCTGTACAAAATGCTCTCCTTATAACACGTTTATAAAATAAAACGGAAAAACGTGAGGAGAATCCAAGAACAACCAGACGGTGGCAGCAGAGTAAATAAATCAGTAAAACGTGACGTTTTGAACAGAAGTTTAAAAACCTTTTGTTTGGACGTTTGTCTACAGTCCTAACTCTTCCACCTGCTTCTACTTTGGTCTTTTTTTTTTCTCCAGCCGTCTGGAAACCATATTCGAGGTGCCTCTCAATCGCAAGAACGGCTCCGAGTCCTGGTGCGGTCCGAGGCGCAAACGTTTCCTGGAGTTCCTGGAGGCCGGCACGGTCAGGAAACTAAAGAAAGTTCCTGTCGGAGCCGGGAAAGCGGGCGTCTCCTCCTCCAGGACGAGACGCAGCGGCGTCCCTAAAGACGAGCCGTCCCTCACCGTCCAGGACGTGGACTCGCTGCTCTGCACCAAACTGGACGAGTTGAGTCTGTGGCTGATCCACGATCAGAGGGACGGCTGAAGGAAGTTCACTGTAAAAGACCGGACCAGCTCTTTCGTCTCGTCCTGAAGGCAAGCTCCAAGTAAATAATTCAGGTTTTCTCTCGTAGCGTCTGTAGCCTGAAAGTTCACGGACGTTACGCCACAAGAACCCGTATATAAAGATAATGACATGCACCGTACGTTTGTTCTTATTTACAAACCTCTGCTGTCCATCGTGGATGTTTTAATGAAACTGAAGGAAAACAAAACTCGTTATCTTAAATATTTTGTATTACGTGGTTTAAGGTTTTTACTTTCCACTCTGCGCCGGTCCCTAAAACGAAGAGTCGGGATGTAGTTTCCTGATCAGCTTCATCGTCACCGGCTGCTCTTTCTGCAGCAGTATGGAGTCGTTTATAATAATGGCAGCTATTTTTTTTTTTTTAACAGTAATTCTAACTAAAACGTGCCAGCAAGAGGTTTGTGTTTACAATCAGAAGAGTTTCCAACAGACTCTGGACTGTTTAAACCTTTGACTCCGCGCAGGACGGAGGCTGATAGTTTAGTTTGTGGGGGCGTCCGTTATAAAAGCTTCGACCTCTTGGCGCGCCACAGACATGATCAAGCCAAGTACGTTGCTGTGGTGTTTTTATTTTACTCAGTAGCTCATATTTTTGTCTCAAAAGTGTGTTTTTGTAGTAAAGATATTGCCTTAAATGTAAAAACTCAGAGCACCAAATACCCAGTTTTATTATAAAAAAAAACTTTGTATAAAAGTACAATAAATGTATACATTTAACAATCGTAACAATGCAATAATGCCAGTTTAACGTTGGCACAGAAAGACTCGCGTTTTAAAGCGCTGCCATATTCACCATGCCATTCTGTCTCCAGTGGACGCCCAGTACTTGGTGTGTACATCGTAGTACTTTGTATTTGTGTAGTAAAGATGAGCATTTTACTCTTAATGACAAAATACGTCAAGAATCGAGCCAAAACTGGTGCATGACTGCTCTAATCTGACACGTGTAAGTGCGTTTGGAAAGGTTTCAGCCTCTTTAGTTTATTTTTTCCACATTTCTTTTGTTAATCTGGATTATTTTCATTCATAGTCTCCTCAAAGACAAAGAAATTGTTTTTTTTTTTTAGGATTTCTGTGGTCAAAGCATGCAGAAAACCTTTCGAATGCACCTGTTTGTGTCATGTTTTAAATTATAGGCAATACCGGATTTTATATGGTCATTTAAAGATGTTAAATAAATATAATACATGTAAAAGTTGTGAAGTTATTTCAGCTGAAGGCGGGTTGTTTGTATAAAACCAGTTTTTCCATCAGCAGGATGAAGACGGCGCAGTCTTTATTTTGTTTTTTAGTTTTGTGTTAGCTCAGTCCTTTTCACAGAACCCAAACGATATTTCACAGGATCGTTCCCCCCGTTTGGGTTCATCAGTCCTTTAAGGTGGCGAGATACGAGAAAAGTGCCATCAGAATGGGGATGGAGACGATGATGGAGACCCACGTCACAATGGAGATGACGCTCCATTTCTTTGCTCGCCGAGAGAGATTTTTAGCTTTTTCTGTACCCCGTGCATGTTCAGCCTGAAACAGAACGAACAAATGTGCTTTTTAGGATTAGATCAGTGTTTACATCCGCACAGAAAAATACATTGTGAGCTCTTCTGGTAGTATTCAACCTGAAGTGAGATTACTTTGAAACACGAAACCTATTTAAACATTTTTTTAATTGTAAACCAGCCGCGCCCATCGTTTGTCAGCAGCTTTATTTATTTACGAAAGACTGAGCTGTTTGTCCTCCAGACTCCACGGAGAAACCTGCGCTGATCTCACATTTCACCTCTTGATGGATTATTTTCACATAAGAAGCTTTTGCTTCGAGTTAAAACAAAAACATCTAAAAGTGTACTTTGGTGAATAACTACTAAAACGATCTAATGCTATTTTGATGCTTGCTCAATAATCCAGGTAGAAAAATCTACAAAAGTTTAAGTCGGGTCCTCTGGACGGATTCTTCTTGAAACGTTTCGTCTTTTATCCCAAAGACTTGTTCAGTCTGAGGAGCTGCACTAAACTCAGTCTTATAAACGGCACCTTCTCATAGTGGATCAACCACTTCTCTGTTGACATCCAGAACTTGCTCTTCACATGATAAAGGAGGACCGTCAGCCTAACGACCGAGCGTTAGTTTCCTGATGGCCGCTCGTTATTCACAGAGGGCTGAGTGATCATGTATTTTTCGGCCTATAAGTCATGGAGTTATTTTTGTGCATAATTTGCATGCCCTGTGACTTTTACGCCAAATTGACTCATTTATAGATTTTTCTCATATTAATAAACCGATTTTTGGCTGAGATATGACGTTTTCATTCATTCTGACTGAAAATATTGAACACTATCATTTTCAGCCGCTAGCTGGCACTCGAGTAGTATGGCATGCCGTTGTATCACGTAATAGGTAAAAAAAAAAAAAAAAGGCTATTAATGACAAAATCGGCTTGCCATATATTGCCACTTTTGTCCAGCTCCGGGATCATGCCTGGAGCAACCGTCAAAATCAGCTTAATTTCGCTGCGCCGCCACGGTTAAATGCAGCTGATGTGACCTTTAAAGTGCGTTTATAAGTAAGTTAGACTGAGACACACCTTTGCTATAATTTTGAGCAAACAAATAATTGTTTTTAAGTGTTAATCTTGTTAAAGTCCTCCCGTGCACGCTCCCGTGGCCGCCATTTGGCAGCCAATCGATTTTTGGCGCATCGGCCCACATTTCCGGGTAGTCAGCGGTGACGTGTAACAGATGCGACTTATACGGCGAAGTACCGTATTTATGGATTTTTCCACTTTATTAGACGTATTTGGACTGATGTGACGTGTACGGCAAAAAATATGGTACTAGCAATAACAGCATTGTAAGAGGGGGACAGTTGAACACAGAGGCTCCGCCCCTGTTTAATGGTGGGCGGGTTCTCTTCACAAAGATGGCTTCCTTCACTCCTCTCAAATAAACGTTCCTCTCCATGAAGGATGTGAACATCTTCATCCCTGAGTGACCTCTGGTCTGCAGATGAGTAAACTGCAGAGTCCCGGCCTGATGATGTTGCTCTTTTCTGTGTCCAGCTGTCCCCATCGTACAATGCTGTTCTTGCCAGTATCACTCAGCCCTCTGCGAATAACAAGCGGCCATCAGGGCACTAATGATTGGTCGTTAGGTTGATGGTTCTCTTTATCATGTGACCTTTTTATCTTTTTTAAGACTGTTTTTATTTCCTTTAAACAGCAGTATCCAAATAAAGGATTTACACACATTACATCTGGAACTCAAATCCTTTTCATTGCTGGACCTCGGTTTAGTTCCGAGTCTTTACTGAATATATAAAGAGAAGATTCAACACCATGAATGAATATTTCAGCGCGTGGATTCCGATGCAGGAGAGGCCACAGATGACGCTGCACACGGCCAGTCTCCTGTGGTGCTTGTGGTTGCAGAACAGCACCGGGGGCCCCGCGTTCCCGCGCTCTTCGTCACCTGGTCCATCAGCCGACCCGTGGGTTATCAGGGCGCCATTTGCTCCCAATGTGTCCATTGGTAAGTGCTGGGAGGACATTTCTGCAAAAGACGAGTTTAGGAAGCTTGGTTAAACATTTTGACTCAGATTTTAACTAAAATTCTGCTTTGTCCTAAATAAATTTAAAAGTAACTTTATTTATTATGGAGAAAGTGTTGGTATCTACATGGTTATTTTCAGATGGTATGTTGCTGTTTATCAACTAGATTTCCCTTTTTGTTTTGTTTTTTCTGTTTTCTGATTATATTTCACGTGGTTTGGGCTCTTCCACCATGTCTTCAGTCACCCTCACTGGTTTTTTTTCCTTGCCCAGTTTGTCTCTGCTCCTTGCTCCAGGGAACTCCTCACCTGGTCCCCGTGTCATCGTACCAGGTGTTTCTTCTCTCGTCGTTCGACCTCTCGGTCTCCATCATCCGTGGAGCACTCGGTTCTACTCGTGCCTCCTCGTGACCAGTCTGCAGTTTCAGTTGTAAGTTCTGCCACGCCAGCTGTTTGTTTTGTTTTACAATAAAGTTTAGTTTTATTTTTGTAGCTCCTCGTGTTGGTGCAAGACCTCCATACAGCTGTGACAGAAAAGTATTAAAAGACCTGGCATTCCTTGAAGGACATCCTTCCGTAACGTTCCTTCAAAACTGATTAAATTTAAGCCATTTTTACGTTTTTATGGTGCAAAAACTTTACACTAATATTCAAGGTTAACAAAACGGTGTCGCATATCTGTAATTTACTGATCTGAGTTGAAAATAAACGTCTCCCCTGCCTGTTCCTCAAAACATCCAGACCGAACGTCATAATCCTGTGAGTTTTTGAGGTCACAGTTTTTGAAACAGAAACTTCTGGATGGTGTCACAAGACGATCGTTCCCTTTTTACAAAAGACAGAAGCTGAAAAACTTGCTGGCTCGCCTGGCTGATTGGTCGTCGTGGCAACTAGAAAACTTCTTTATCTAATCTCTGCTTTGATCAAAGAACAACATATGGGAAGATTTGGCACATATATTTTTTTTTTTCCTTAAGAAAATGCAACAGCGGTGTTGCAATGAATTTGTTGTGTAATATTAAACCATGCGTAAATCATCTGAGGAGTGTGAACGTCGTAGGTTACCAACAGGAGATGACTGATTAAACCACGTGGTTATATGTGAAGCTGTTCTACACACTAAGAACTGCTGGGTTAGAGCCGCTGGGTCATAAACTGGGTTAGACCAGACCAAGTACTGGGTCAAAACGTTTGACCCTATCCGTGTACCCACCGTTTTAAGCCAGAAGAGTTTGGTTTCCTAAAATAACATCCATTGGCGCTAGCTAACTGAAGCTAATAGTGTTTAGCTCCATCTAGCTAGCACCATCACAAGTTTTAATTATCTAATAACCCAGATTTTGTGCTGCTCTTTTAAAATTAACTTTTAAATGTCTAATTTTAATTCAACAAATCATTCTTTTTTTAAACTCCAGAAAACTAGGTAAACTAAGGACCACTGACTGGATAGCAATGTTGCTAACGCCCCACTAGAAGAGTAGTTGTTGTTGTCCTATTGCTAGATCCCGTCATCGTCCAAGTTTCACGATAAAATGTGTTTCTAGTAAAAGTAATGCCATCAACTGAACATCTACCAGCGTCACATATAAGCTGATCGACTGGGAATCAATGTCGCCAACTCTTCCCTTAACAAAAAGTAGTACATTTGAAGTTTATTTTTGCAAGTATACTTTAAGTTAACTATAAGTATATCAAGTATACTGCACACCAAACTTGTAGTGTACTAAAAGTATACTGATTTAATACTTGTTAGGACTAAATTGGGACATTTTTGTATTATTTTTAAGTATATCAAGTTTATAAAAAGTAAACTTTAAGTACACTTCCTCATTTTTACTGTAAAATAAGTATACTTGTAGTACACTTAAATAAACTACTTTTTGCTAAGGGTTCAGTAGAGAAAACTGCTATTACCTGTCATAAAAGTTGCTGAATCACATCATCACCTAATTTCCCTAACATCCAGAAAATAATCACGAGAGAGACGTTATTTCCATGTTTCTACTTAAATAACTACCTTTTTGCTACTTTTAGCATTTAGCTAATCTTTTGCTAGTATTAGCTTGTGTTTCGCTGCTTTAGGCGGTTAACGAGCGCTCTGATTCGTTCAGCGTTTTCAGCTCCTTTCACGAAGTCCAGCAAAGATGTTCAGAAGTTTCCCTTTCACTTGAAACACAATTTATCTCGTTTGTGCTTGAAATTTGCCGAGCAGCTGTAATTAGCCAAAGTATTTTTCTGTTTTTACCACTTACTGAAAATCAAACAGATTTTTCAGCCCTGGTCAGATCACTGTTTCGCCTGTTTCGTATATTACCTGTAAACTGGGTAGTGCAGGTTCTAAAAATAAAGGAACAAAGTGCGTTCCTTATCAACTTAATAAGGAACGTGTCTTTTTAGTTTCAAATGCGGCACAAGACAGCTGGCAAACCATATGTCAACACGATGACCCCACACTGCTGAGGTAAAGCCCAAATTTGATCCAGTGTTGGGTTGTTTTGAGACCAGCAGATTGTAGTGTGTAGTAAGTGCGTTGGTGTTGGTGTGTAATCAAATTAAATCTTGTTTAATGACTTATTGAAAGCACAAACCTGGTCAAATTCTGCCGTGTCTTGGATCCACTCCTCAGGCTGAGCTTCTGTGAAGCCGAGTTTGTCCAGTTTCAAGAGATAAATAAAGGAGTAAGGCTTATTATCTGTGTTCCTCCCTAAAGATTCCTCTCACAGGAGACGAGCGCGCTTTCTTTAAAAAAAAAAGTCAGGAAATTCTCCCTCCTGAACATCCAAACCTGATCCCGTTGAAGTGAAACGAGTCCTCTGACGGTGGCCGGCCTCTGTGTGAAAACTTGATGTCATAAAAGTTGCAGAATGACAGGAAGGACGATCTGGACTGAAACTCTTTGTGAAACCTCCACGCCCATTCACTGAGGCTGAATTCTGCCTTCTTTCTTTTTTTTTTTACTCTTGTCCTCCCTCACGTCCACTCTGCTGCACTCGTTCCTTCAGTCTTCTGTTCTCAGCGAAGACTTCCTCTTTAACTTGTCAGTGATAAACCCTGAGGAGTTACAACCCTCTTTTATTATTTTTTGTTTTCCAAACCACATTCCAGAGAGGAAGGTAAAGGGTGTGTCTGCACTTGCAGCGCCCGAGGCTGAAGCATACAGACTAACTGGTTTACATGTACAGAATACACAGTTTTTTTTTTTTTTTTTACATTTTTACCAGCAGGTAAACGTCACAATCACAGCAACTTATTTCACCCGAACTTGTCCAGTTTGTGTTTTTCTTCTTTCTGACCCAGAGAAAAGAAACTCCCTTTGACTCAGACAAGTTGAATACGTCTCTTACCACAGAAGACGGCCTGCTTCAGCTCTGTAAACACAAACTTGGGAGGAACCATGTATTTTACTTGATTGTAGCTGGACGAACCAGATTTTCTCACTCGATCGCAATTAGGACAAGTCGTGAGACTTCTTTTCTCGCTGACGTGGTTAAGAGACGTTCTTTTCCCCGTGGATATTTTATGCTCTGAAGAGGAAACTGTAGCGAGAACTTCCTACTGCTGCAGACGTCACGCAGAAAAGGAAACGTCACAGCGGCAGCGGCGACAGCAGGAGGAAGATCTGGTATTTCTGTTGTTAACCGAGGACGGCTTTTATGAAAATCTGCTGCAAAGAGAACGCAGTGCGGGAACGTGTCTACGCTGTCCGGCCAAAGCGTACCCCATCTCAGACACCCCACTCACAGAGAACCGCCTGTGTCTCAACGCTATCTCATTCCACGAGTTCTTTGAGTGTCTCTCATGTATTTTTCCTTGATTATCTTTATAAGTTTTGCTGCACCAGTTGTAAATATGTCCATATTTTCTAACAGCCTTGGCCAGCTGCTCCTCAGCAGAGTAGAAATGAGAGAAGTGTACTTCAGCAACTTGTCCACAAAAACACACATACAAAGTTCTGACCAATCACGCAACACCTGGCACATACCTTTGCTGAAAAAAAAAAAAAAATTCTACCAGGAGCTTGTGCACAGAAATGGCGCGCAATTTTCGTCACGCAAACGCGACCGTGAGAACAGATTTCGTCGCGTCTTGCAGATTATAAATCGTCCTGTAGTGTCTCCTGGGTTCACCTCTGCTCAAAAGATCTGAGGAATATGCACGTTCCTGTTGCCAGAGCTGTTGATTCTGGAGCGTGTGCCCCAGATTGGCATTCTGTCCGACAGCAGCCTCGATCGAGACTTCAAACGACCCGTCCAGATGACTCGGCTGTTGTTTGCTGTAAATATTGTGCTCACGAGAATCTGGTGATGAATTAAAGGAACTCCCTCCAAAATGTGTTGATTGCTAAATTAACTCTGTTTTCAGTGGTGGCTCAGATGCATATGTCAAATATTTAACTAAACTTTTACAAGAAATATCTTATAAAATTATGTATATATATATATCATTGTATTTGTGCTTTTAAGTAAGATATAAATCTACACAGACACCATGTAAATAATGATAAATCAAACTCAAACTGTTTGTGTTTTTTTTTTTTTAAACAAGTTTTTTTTTTTTTCACCTTTAGCTGTAACTAAGAAGGAAAGACGTCCCAGAGGAGGATACGGTTTATTTTTAAAGTTCGGTGAACGACACCAACGTTGTCACGGAAACATGTTTCTGCTAACACACAAAACACGTGACGCTCTAAACTCCACAGGAGTTATGAGAAAACATTTTTGACCCGACTCATACAAGCATCAATTTTATTTTAATTCTCACCATTTATTTATTTGCTATAGAAATAACCAAGTATATAATGCCAACAATGTCATGTTGTTGTTTCAAGGGATTCAAGGTTCTTTATTTGTCATTCGCACCTCATGTAGTACATGTGGTGGAACGAAATTATGTACACAGGGTCCCAGTTACATCCAACAATTCTATATTTACTATATTTATTTTGGACTTGTAAATATTGTATTTCTTTTTCACTTTTTGGTACTTTTATTTCAAATCCACATTGCATGCTTTAGTATTTTTTTGTTTGTTTGTTTGTTGTTGTATTGTTTATTAACGAGTCAAATCAGTTCTTCTCATCCTGAACGTTTCATTGCACTGTTGACCCTGTGTTAATCTGCATATGACAAATAAACAACATAACAAGTCTGTGTAGTAACTCTATAGATAAGAAGTCCTAAAGTAGCATTATAACAAATGATAACAATAAAAAAAAACAAGTGGAAAAAATATTATTCAATAGTTGTTTTGCAAACCATTCTCTCACTCATCAGCAACAGAGCCTTTGAGTTTTAGGAAGATTAAAAGTGAGTTTAATGATGGGGATTTTGAAGAAAAAGTAAGTATTGAAAAACTGAAGCAATTAAACAAAAAGGAAGATTTAACTTTGGAACAAATTGACATTGGTCAAAAGGAACTTTTGACTATAAAGTTATGAAACATTATTAAATACAGATATTTGCTAAAGGATTGGACCTGTATATTTTATCCTGTGTCCTTTGCTTGTTTTGTTTGTGCTGTAAAGTACAGCACTTTGGCTTGCCTTGTTGTTCGTTTAAGTGCTTTATAAATAAAGTGGCATGCTAAAAGGATATTTGTATTTTTATGGATCTGAATTAATAATTTACTCGAAAAAAAAACGTAATAATCCAAGTAAAATAAAATGTTTGTAGTTCGGTTATATTTCTACCAGTATTTTTATCATTTTCGTGGCACATGAAGTTCAAAGTTTGATGAAAATTTAAGCGTATTAAAAAGTCAGCAGTGCTTCTTTAAGCCCCGCCTTCAACTCCCAACCCACCAATGAGAACTCGAGAAACGGCGAGCGCGGAAGTAAACCCGGAAATGCCACAAATATAAACAAAGCCGTAAAGAATGACACGTCGGCTGCGAACAAAAACACGTAGACACGAGCTTAAATGAATTATAGACTTCAGTGTCGTAATTTTTTTTTTTTTATGTTTAAATGAGTAAGAACCAAAGAAATGGAGGAAAACGCGGGTTTGGTTTTAGCTACAGAGAGATATGGCAGCGCTCAGTCCTGGAAGTATTTAGTGAAGGATGGAGGGATGGAGAGAAGGAGGGATGGGGGTGAAGGAGGATCAAGAGGCAACTCTGTGGTTGGATTTTTTAAAGTAAGGAGCGGTTTAGTTTCTGACTGAGCTGGCTTTTCATACATTGTCTAAGAAGTTTAAATTTATTTCAGAGCGTTTTTCTGCCTCAAGGCTTCCCAGAAAGTGTCAGCGACGATTACCTGCAGTACCAGTTTTGGGACACAGTGCAGGTAGGAGACAGTAAGCCCACTGAGATGATTCTGGTCAGTGTAAAGTTTATATTTCTCCTCTCTGTGTGTGTCAGGCCTTCTCCAGCTCGCTGTCAGGGACTCTGGCCACTCAGGCTTCTTTAAAAGGTGTTGGTGTTGGAAACCAAGAGGCGACTGTAGCTGCAGCCACAGTTACCTGGCTGCTGCGAGGTAAAACTCTTCAGTAGTTCCAGGTCTAGGGTTCCCTGTCGATTACCAGCGCCGATTTTATTCATGTGGTTAACCAAAGTGGTTAAAAACAAACAGGAAAAAGCAACATGTACAATAAAATGGGCCCCAAAACAAAGTGAAACGAGGGAACATCCAAACCCAGTCCTGGCCCTCGAGGGCCAATATTCTGCATTTTTTAGATGTTTCTTTGCTTTGACACCTGATTTGAATGAATGATTAACAGGCTTTTGTAGAATTTGAAGACCTGTTGAAAAGCAGAAAAACAACTAAAACGTGGGAGAGTGGCCGTTGAGGTCCACGATTAGACTTCACTGGTATAGACTCTGCAGTTTGGGTTCAGGTTGGTCCAGAGTCCGTGGGCCCAGTCCCCTCTGAGCTGTAATTTAAAACCCTCAGCTGCACTGAGAACATCTGGGTGGAAGATCTCTGAGCGTAAATCTGCTAAAACTGGACCAACTGCAGGCGATGTGGAGATGATTGTCCATCCACCTGCTTCCTCCTTTCTGGGTCGTGGGGGTCACCGGTGCCCATTCAAAGACCAAATCTAGAGAACTGCAGCCCCAGACTATGAAGACGTGGACAAGGGTTTTGTTTTAGCATTTTAACGTAACTTACGGAGTAAAAACACTCATCATCTAGGGTCTTAAAAAGCAGAGAACGTCTTTTCCCTTGAAGAATCTACACCTATAGATAAAAATAAAATATTTTTAACTTAAATTTGTTTAATCCTGTTGCTCTTATCCTGACAGCGGAGGAGCAAGAAGGCTAACGAAACTCTTTGAGAAGGGAACCATTTCCGTCTCAAGTTTTTTTTTTTGTGCAGACTTGTTTTTGTTCAGAGACAACTCTTGAGTTACTCTGAAGAAACGGGGGGGACCAAAAGAGGTGTGGAGCAGAACTCGGCTGCTTTTAACTTTTCACTAGTCGACCATTTTGCCTCTGGTACTGCCTCGCTTCGTGGGACGAAGGCACATCAGGGGTGGGTTGGCTTCGACCCCCTCACTGCCTCGGCCCCTTCAGAAATCCCAGCGCGGCGGCCAGAAGACATCCAAGTCCCAGCTTGAAGTACTTTGTCAAAGAATCCAACGATTACTTTCAATTAAATCTGTCAACAGGGAAAAAACATTATCGCCCATTTGTCTTTAGTGTCATGCAACAAATAAAAAAACAACAAATTATCCTTTGAGCTGTTTAAAAAATACCTGTTTGCAGATGGAACCGGCATGTTGGGAAGGATTCTCTTCGCCTGGAGAAAAGGGTGGGTTTGAGTCCTGCAGAGTTTTGTGGAACTTGAGTTTATTTTTTAAACATAAATTACTTTTAAAGATGACGTTCTCTGTGTTCTAGGAGTAAGCTGGACTCTGAAGCCAAAAAGTGGAGGTTTGCATTAAGAATCCAAACGCTGCCACGCTCGGACTCCTGCTGGTTTTGTGACTTATTTTCCGCTTTCGTTTGTTTTTGGCTCCTCACTAGACTTTTTGCCGACGTTCTCAACGACGTGGCGATGTTCATGGAAATCTTGGCTCCGCACTTTCCTGCCTGCTTCACTCTGATTGTGTGCACTGCAGGAATATTCAAGGTAAAACTAACTCCACCTACTCTCAGATCACATGGTAATCAGCTGTTTTGGGAGCTAAACATGCAGGAGCTCCATTAGTCTTAAAGTTAGCGACTTACTTTACGTCAGGTTTATTTTGATCATTTGTTCACTTCTAAATAAATGCTCTGGAGTTTTCCAAGTTGGAAAATACAAACTTAAAAACCTGAAAAAGAAGCTTAATGGAACGTTGCGTCAGAGATTCTGTTTCGCCCTGGAAAGCAAAATAAGAGAAAATTCAAAAGTTTGGATCCTTCGTGTTTAATGACTTCATTGAAATTTGCTGAAGAAACTGAAATTGGGTCGTTAAAGCTTAAAAAAGCAGAACGTTAGCTAAAAGCCAAAAGCAGCATAATGCTAGCTAAAAGTAGCAAACCTCTAACTAAAAGCTAAAAATATCAAAAGGTTAGCTGCTGCTTCTTTTTCTGTCAGTCTCTTATCAGACGTCGTCACGGCACATCATCAGCCAACAGGTCCGTTTATCACCGGCGCCTGCTGGTTAACCGGGTCGTTGTGACCCCAGACCGATCCGGTGAAGCAGTCGTAGATCTACATGTTTGTTTACAATTTTTACTTAACGTTGCCCTTCCTGTTGCAACTCTCACCATTCATCTGGACCGGCACCAGAACTACACAGGAAGTGCCCTTCCAAAGACTCGCTTCAAAAGCCTTTCTAGAAGCCAAAAGTAGCAAAGCGGTTGTTAAAAGTAGCTAAAATCCTAAAGTGGCTAAACAAAAATATTTGTTATATAACATGTGATTGGATTCCATTGGCTAAAGGATAAATTGTGTCTCGTTTAGTCCTGTCACAATTAACAATAAATCAATTAATCGCATGATTAATGAAAATTATCAACCTCGTTTTCATTTATCGGCTTGATCGTTTCTTCGTGTCTCTCTTTCTACTGAAGACACTGGATGACAAAAGGTGCTCTTCACTGACCCCCCCCCCCTTTCTCTTTTCTCTTTAAAATCTGTTTTAACCGTCCAAAATTGTGTTGTTGGATCATTAAAAGCAGCTAAGTTGAGAAGCTAAGCTACGAGCTAAGCTAACAGGCCGACCTTGGGGAAAAATCCTCCGTCTTGTCAAAGCTCCATAATTCACAGTTGAAACCCGTGCCTTCGCGTAAAAAGTTGTTTTTCTCTGCAAAAACAAGCCGAGAACTTGTTTACTGATTTTTTTTAATTAAAAACTTTGTGTGAAAAACGCTATGCTAAAGAGCTCAAACCACACCGAGCGTCCACCATTTTGAGAACCGAAAAAAAGGAAGGAGAGACAGCCCGTGTCACGTCAAGGGGCCTCCCTCCCATTTTTCTTAAAGAGACACGCTGCTCACTCCCTCACTATCCATCCTTCAGTTCAAACAGTCTTATACTGTCATCTGGTGGTCAAAAAGGTACACGCAAAACAAATTAACCAACATTTATTTTTATATTTGACAATAATGACTAATTATTGTCAAATTTCAAACAATATTATCGTTTATCGCAATAATTTCTGAGACAATCGCCCAGAAAAATGTGTTATCTTGACAGGCCTAGTCTTGTTGTTTATAAAGCTGAGCACAGCAGGTAAGGACTGATTAGTAGAGCTGCAGTATCTTGTCATAAAAAGGACTAAAACGTGCACCTCTGCTGGAGCCAGCTTGGACTGATGTCACATGTTGAGTCCCGGTTCTGAAAAACTGAAGTGTCTGATTCAAAATGGAGACGAGAGCTCGGGTTTAGCATCATGGAAGGAAAAGTGAACTTCTGCTCTGATCTGTTTGTGCTCGTTCTCTTTAGTCGGTCGTTGGTGTGGCCGGCGGCGCCACCAGAGCCGCTCTGACGGTCCATCAGGCTCGCAGGGACAACATGGCCGACATCTCCGCCAAAGACGGGAGTCAGGTATAACTACCACCTGCACGCTGTAAAAAATAAACAGTAAAATCTTTTTTTTTTTAGTGCCGTAGGCGTTTATCAGCTTCCACTTTGTCTACTGAGACGTGGAATGATCCAGACTTTCTAATATTTGTTTTGTTTTCTGCAGGAGACTTTGGTGAACCTGGCTGGACTTCTGGTCAGCTTGATGCTCATTCCTCTCGTCACTGATAATCCCGTGTAGGTTCTGTGAACAACCCGAACATTTAACATTTAGCTCTGCTGTGTTTAAATGCAGCGTTTCCCTCCCCTCAGACTGACGCTCAGCCTCTTCTTCCTGTTCACCGTCCTCCATCTGTTCGCCAACTACAAAGCTGTGCGCTCGGTCGTCATGGAAACCTTCAACGAAGCGCGGCTTTCGATAGTTCTGCGGCAGTACCTGAAGGACAAACGGATCCTGAGCCCGCTGGAGGCTAATCGGAGAGAACCGGTTCTCCTGCGTACGTAAGAACGCGGATATTTGGAGCTTTTTTAACTTAAACGGCACAAACGAAACCTCTGACGTTCAGTCTGTTTATGTTAATGAAATGTTTTCAGAGTTTAGGACAGCGGCTCCAATCAAACTGGGAGTGAGGCTGCAGGATGTGGTACAGAGGTAATTACATTTAAGCTTTACACGTTTAACGTTTAGCTCCGTTTTGAGTCTCGCCGCTTGTTCTGCAGCTCTGAAGAACTGAGTCTGGCTTCGAAGGAGAACAGCCGGCCCTTCCTGTTAGGAGTCACAAACGGTATCCCACCTTGGTCCATGAAACAGCTGTTTGATTTACATACATTGATCTGGGCTTTATTTTAAACCCTGTTATCTCTCTGGCAGGCTGTGTTTGTGTGTGTTTGGGACCAGAAGCATCGGTTTGTGATAAAATCAGAGCAACGTGCCAGGCCGTGTGGCTCAGCGACAAGCTGAGCTGTCCAACATCCAGAAACCCTCCGTGCGCCGCAGCGAAGCAGCAGAGTGAGTCTTTTTTTATTTTGTGAATGCCGAGTCAGCGCTCGCATCGTTTATTATTTTCCTGTATGATCCTGCATTGTTCTATTTTAGTCATTAATGAATTAAAACCTTCAGCTCATTCGGTAGATGGGTGATGTAGCTTTTGTTTTGTGTAGCCTTTATACTTTTTAAAATCATGACCTTTTTATTTAGAAATATTTTCTTCATAGAAATGCAAACCTTGTTCTCTTTAAAATCTGCCTCAGCTACTGGTTCTTAGTTTGTCATCTGCTGCTACTTTTAGCTTGCTATAATAGCTAAAGTAATAGCCATGAGTTTAACCTTATGCTACTTTTAGCTTTTAACTTGCCTTTTGCTGTTTTTAGGCTTTAGATCACCTTTTTGTTTCTTTAGCATTTAGCTAGTTCTGTTACTTTTGATACCTTTGACACCCTTTTGTTAATTTAGCTATTCTTTTGCTATAATTAGCTTCAATTTTTCTACTTTTAGTTTTTTAATGAAGTTTTTGTTTCCTATAACTTGTGAGAAGCTATTTTTGGCTTTTAGGTGTGCTTTTGTTAGTTTAGCTTATTGCTAGTCTTCTACTACTTTTAGCTTTTATTGCTACTTTTTGTTACTATAATTTTTTTACATGTAGTTTGTAATGAAGCTTTTGTTGTTTTTAATTTGTCCTTTGGTAATTTTAGCTGTATTTTAGTTAGCCTTTAGGTACTTGTTGCTACACTTTGTCTACTTTTAATTTTAGCTAGGTTTTTGCTGCTTTCAGCTATTGTTTTGCTACTTTTGTTTGTCCATTTTCTTCCTTTTATTTTAGCTAGTGTTCCTTTAGCTTTAACAGCTTAATTTCAGCTTCTTCAGTAAATTTCAGCAGTTTTATCAGCTCTCAGCATTCACATTAAGTTGTCACAGTTTCTCTAATTTTTTTTATTTTTTTTATTTAATGTTTCATTAGTCATATTTCTTTTTTTTTTTTTTTTTTACAAATTTAAGGTTTCTGGGCAATTGTGTTTGAGAGTCACAAGGTGATGGAGGCAAATTTCAAGCCATTTCTGAAAGGTGACCTCACTCAAACTAGTTTAAACCTACAGCTTAATTAAATATATTCAGTTTTGTATCATTATGTGATTTATGCTGGTTTTTACTCTTTAGGCGTCGAAGCTGCAGGATGGGACGTAAAACGAACTCTGCTGGACTGGGATGAGTGGAGAGTCGAGTGGAAAACAAAAAGGAGCTGAGCAGCTTCAACACTTTTTTAATTTGTTCCTAAAATAACTATTTTTAAGTGTTTGATCAAACTAACGCCTTTGGTTCAGACTAGGGAAATTAAAATATATTTGTCCAAATGTCAGTTTGTTTTGCTTTTTTAAAACAAATAAATACATTGAATCATGAATGTACAATTGTGGCAACTAATATAATATTTTCCTCCCAACAAAACTTGCATTGTAAACAAAAATTAGGAGGAGGGAACAACTTCCGGGTGTCAAAATAATGGTTGTCAAAATAAAACCTTAGTAATTAAGCTGACGTATGCATTGTATTTGTACTTAAATTTAATACGATAAGAATTGCAAATCTAGCAGAACAAAACGTACATTTTGACATTGTTGTCATTAATTTCGCGATAGTAGGCGTGTCGCTTTTATTGTGAAAAATCTTACCCGGATGTGAAAGCTATCGTGTAGCGGTGTTAGCATTAGCTGAATATTTTTGTTTGCTCTTAGTTTTATTAAAGATAAATAAATGGGAAGATATAAGTGTGCCTATAATTGCGAGAACTCGAGCGATTCAGATGTTAAATTCTTCAAGTAAGTTCTCAGTTAAAATATTTTTAAAAATTAGTTGCTCATAAATAACAAACGGGTAGTTAGCTGGCAGATTATTATCTTGACGTTTGGCAACTCTTTCCTTTAGGGTTCAGATTTCTGCATCAAAAAATGTAAAATAAACGTAAATTTAGAATAATTACTGTAATTTATAACGGCATTGTGAAAAAGCCTTTGTTTATTAAATGTTTTGCTTCCATGAATAAAAACAGGTTCTGATGAAATTTTAGAAGTACTGATCCAGAGTTTTTGTTTTCTGAAAGTTTTATTTTTAATAACTTTTCTCTCCCATTTTTAGTCTTCCTACTTGATCATTTTAAGAATAATGTTTTTATTTAAGTCATAGGCATAAAACAACCAAACTTAAAGTATGAACCAGTGTTAAGTTTGCACACTAATACAACAACAAATAACAAATTTAATTAGAAACCTTTGGACACTTTGTAATAATCATAATAATAAATATAATATCAATTTTCCACCACTTAGCTCTTAGCTGTAATCGGGTCACAGAGTCAACAGGTCCAGGAGAGAAACCCAGACCTCCCTCTCCAGCTCCTCCTGGGGGATCCCAAGATGTTCCCAAGGCATAGAGGATATATAATCCCTCCAGCAAGTTCTGGTTCTGCCCAGGTCTCTTTCCAGTGGGATATGCCCTGAAAACCTCCTAAAGGGAGTCGTCTAGGAGGCATCCTAATCAGACGTCTGAACCACCTCAACCGACTCTTTCCATGCGGAGGAGCAGTGGCTCTGCACCAAGCTCCGCCCAGATGATGGAGCTCCTCCCACTATCCGAGCCTGTCCACCCTACGTAGGAACCTCATCCTTTCTGTCATGATCAGGCCTCATGACCACAGGTGGGGGTTGGAACGTAGACAGGCCGGACAGTCTAGAGCTTTTCTTTTCAACTCTTTCTTCACCACGACTGACCAAAGCAACGCCCTCATTACTGAGACGAGGCCCCGATCCGTCCTACCATTCACGAACAACACTCCTAGATACCTGAACTCCTCCGTCTGAGGCAAAGACTCCCGAAGAGTGGCTTAAAACACGATTCATGACCGTTTTAAAACTGTTTAAAACCAGTTTGATGGATCGATACTATAAATAGTGACAAATAGAACTTTTGTGTTTTCTGAGGAGGTTTGTGTCCGTGCAGTTTCATAGGTTTTGACATCTTGCAGGTTCCCCCTGTACAATCCCAGGAAGCTGAAAAAATGGCTGTCCAACATGAAGTGGAAGGACTGGACTCCGAACCGCTTCTCCGTGCTGTGCATGGATCACTTCGAGGAACAGTACATCGACAGATCGGGGAAGTCGGCGACTCTCCGAGAAGACGCCGTTCCCACCATCTTCACATCCTCCGGCGACACGCAGAGAAAAACGGTTTGTATTTACTGAACTGAAAAATTCATCCTGGTTTGACAGTAACTCTGTGAAATGTTTGCTTTGACCTTTTTCATTTGTTTTTTTTTTAACTGAATAAAATGTTAATCTTACTTCCTACTCTAGGCTTCTGTCATCCCAAGACGTAAGAGGCAAAAGGTGAAGGCATGACTTTTACTCAAGATGACCAAATTCTGTTTTGTGCCACATTTTTACATATTTAGCTTTAATTGGGTGATGTTCCCTCTTGTTGGCCTCACATGTCTTACAGTTGTGTTGTTTTTTTTTTTTCCTCTGTGGTGAAATTTAGACTTCCGGTGCTAAAGCCTCGGAGAAAGAATCAACTCAAACCTCAACAAGCCTTCTGGTCACAGCAGAGAATAAAGAAAGTGAACAGACCGAGGAAGAAGCCCTGGGGTACGCAAGCTTTCATTTAATGTCCTTTAATGAGCTGTTGTTAATTATTAGATATAAAGATTTAAAAAATCTAAATTTATATTGCAAATTTGTGTCTAGAACATACTTTTTTGTACTATTGTTTGTAAACTTGATACAGTCGAATGAAATATAAACATTTTTATTAAATAAAAAGTGGTGTATAAATGTTACAGACCACAAAAAAATTTTTAATTTGTGGCACACTCCGTTTTCAGAACCAGTCTAAAGTTAATTCAAACGTTAAAATGAGAGAAATTGTGCGTTTCTGTTAAAACGCAGCACATTTGCTGAGTGCTGAAGAAGCTAAACTGGGCAGTTGGAGCTAAAAGTACCAGAATACGAGCTAAAAATAGCAGCTGGGAAGCTGAAAGGAGCAGAACATTAACAGATGCTGAAGCTAAATTGAATAAAACTGTCAACTAAAAAGCACAATAGAAGCTAATGTTGACAAAAATGCAGCTAAAATAGCAAAACAGAAGCTAATATTAGCATAACATTAGGTTAAAGAACCACAAAAGATGCTAATATTAGCAAAACAGAAGCTAAAAAGTAGCAAAACAGTAGCTAAATGTAGTAAAATTGATACCATTATTAGCAAAGCTGTAACTTAAAATAACTAAACAGACACTAAAGCAAAACCCAACTAAACCGTAAGTAAATGACCAAAATAGATGCTAATATTAGCAAAGCAGAAGCTAAAAGTTGTAAAACAGTAGCTAAATGTAGGAAAATGTATGCTAATATTGGCTAAGCAGAAGCTAAAGGTAGCTAAACAGTAGCTAAATGTAGCAAAATAGATGCTTATATTAGCAAAGCAGAAGGTAAAAGTAGCTAAACAGTAGCAAAATTAAGTAATTGATGCTAATATTAGCAAAGGAGAAGCTAAAAGTAGCTAAAAGTAGAAAATTGTATGCTAATATTAGCAAAGTAGAAGCTAAAAGTAGCAAAAAGGTAGCAAAATGTAGTAAAATTGATGCTAATATTAACAAAGCTCTAGCTTAAGGTAGCTAAACAGACACAAAGGAGAAAAACAACCAAACTGTAAGTAAAGTAGCAAATTAGAAGCTAAAGCCAAATCAGCTAAACGTTAATTTTAAATAACAATTTGTAAATGAGCTCTAAAAGCAATAAAACATTAGCTGAATGCTAAGAGTATCAAAAGAAGCAGATTTAAAAGAGAACGTTTTTTTTTAAAGAACTGAATAAATCTCAATGTATTTCTATGGGTAATTTTATTTTAAATAGAGGTAAATATTTTGAAAAGTATAAAAGTTACACAGAACAAAAGTCGGCGCACCTTTTGTAATCGAGCTGAACGTTTTAATGTTGCGTTTGTCGCACCGAACCAGCCGTGACTGTTTGCTTCAAACTCTGGGAGACCGCACGGTCACGAGAAGTCGTCTCCTGGTCAGATTCTCCAGGGGACACTTGGACGTCCTGAAAGTGTCAAAATTTCTGCGTCTGTCTTCAGAGACAACGAGCCGAAGACGACGGAGAAATGGAGAGTCATCGTAGACGAGAGGCTGCTGAAGATCGAGTCGTTTCCACACTTCTTTCATGGAGACTACTGCGCACCGCAGGTGGGTGGCGGAGCGCGACGGGCCGGTTATTCAGCCGTTCATTTGGTGGCGCGGTGAACGCCGCTCGACTCTTCGTGACGCAACTCGTCATCGTCACGTTTGTGTTTGTATTAATTTGTTGTTTACTCTGTGATCCTGTTATTTTAGCTGTTCATACATCCAAACCTTCAGCTCATACAGAAGATAAGAACTATAATTTTTTATATATTTAATTTTTATACTTTTGAAAATATTTAACTCTATTTAAAAATGTTATCCCTATAAAAAACATTACAATCTCCTCCCTTTCTTTAAAAACATTGTTCTCTTTAAAATCATCAACAAACTTGCTTTTTCTTTTTTTTATGCTACTTTTTGCTACTTTTAGTTTTTAGCTACTGTTCTGATAGTTTAAACTTTTAGCTTCTTGAAGACTTGATAGTTTTCAGCCAGCTTTTTGAAACTTTAACTGGCATTTTATTTTTAGCTTTGAGCTAGCCTTTAGCTGCTATTTGCTTCTTGCTAGCCTTTGTAAACTGTTAGTTAGACTTTTAATTTTAGCTAACGTTTTGCCACTTTTAGTTAACTTTTTGATGCTTTTAATTAGCATTTTGCTTCTTTTACCTATCCTTTTCTGCCTTTAGCAAGCCTTTTGCCACTTTTAGCTAACATGTTGCTGCTTTTTGGTAGCATTTAGCTTCTCTTAGCACACCTTTTGCTACTTTTAGCTAACGTTTTGCCACTTTTAGTTAACTCTGACACTGTTAGTTAGCATTTTGCTACTTTTACCTATCTTTTTATACTTGTAGCTTGCCTTTTGCCAATTTTACTTAACATTTTGCTGCATTTTGTATCTTATCTACCTTTTGCTACTTTTAGAAAGCGTATTGCCATTTTTGCCTATCTTTTGCTACTTTTAGGTGGCATTTGCTTCTTCCTTACGCCCTTTTGTTAACTTTTTGGTAACATTTTCCTTTTTTTGGCTACCTTTGGCTACTTTTAGCAAATCTTTTGCCACTTTTTGTTAACTCTGCTGCTTTAAGGTAACATTTAGCTTTTGTTAGCTTATCTTTTTCTGTTTTTAAATGACATTTAACTTTTTTT